CAAGGTGAGGAATTAGCCATTGAGCCATCACACTGGACCCGTATGAATTTTTTTGATTCCTCAAACATATGGTGGTATGGCTAAATCAAGACAATTAGCATATTCACTATCTCATATATTTGTCATGTTGCATGTGGAAGGAGAATATTTACTATGTGTTTCTTAGCAGGTATTTAAGTTTCCAACACATTGTTAGAAAATACAGCTGCTGTGCTATGTTATTGATGTCATGAACTTTATTCCATCCTGAAAGTTGTGAATAACATTTCTCCTAACTGGTCTTTCTTGATGCAGAAATTGAAAATTAATATTCTAGGTATTTTTGACAAATCAAAAATTCCATTGTTCGGGGACTGGGCTTATGTACTAATGAAGAGATAAATTAATTGATCAGACATAAGGAAGTGGTTGGTAAACACGAAGTTATAATAATTTACTTCTGACCAGTATTCATATTTAAAGTCACTATCTCATAGGTAGAACCCATTGTACCAGTGTCATTGCAACATATGGCTTGTGTTAACACTGCAAATGTTTAAAAATTTATTTGAAAGGCAAAGCTACAGAGAGAAAAGGAAACAGAGACCTTCCAACTGTTGATTCACTCCCCAAATGATGGCATTGGCCATGTCTGGCAATGCTGAAACTAGGCAACTGGAACTGCATCCATCTGTTTTATGTGGGTGTAGGGACACAGTACTTGGACTATCTTTTGTTGCTTTCCTAGGCACATAATCAAGGAGCTTAGTGCAAGTGGAGCAGCCAGGACTTGAATCAAACTCTTGGTGATGCTGTCATTTGTGGCTTACCAGGCTGATCTATAATGTTGACCTCACCTCTACAATCTTTTTTATAGGTGGCCCCTGACTCCTTAACTGCTTTGATTGAAATGAGAAATTTCCCTCGATTTGACCATTGTTAGTCACCTGTTTAAGAGCATGGAGTGTTGCCTTATGGCAATATCAGTAATTCTTTTCATGTCACCAAAGGCAGAAGATAGTGTTTCCTGTAGAAAGTGGGAGGATATTCCCCCTTTGGCTTTTTACCTTTTTATCAACATTTGTTCACCCCCCCCCCAGTCTAGCTCTATCTATGCTGCTCTGATGCTTTAAAACCAACTTGTCCAGATTTCTTTCTGCTCTTAACATACCATGTGTAAGGACCATCCATGTTGTTGCAAGTGACAGGGTTCCCTTTTGTTGAGGGTTAATCAGTTGTGTGCATTTCATGTATTCTGCATTTTGACTGTTGTGAATAATGTAGCAAATAATATTGGGCATTCAGGTTTTTTAAAAACTTTTTTCCCTTTTAGCTGTATCTTCAGCTGTGGGATAGCAGAATCATACAGTTAGTTGTATGTTTAGTAGTTTTTGGGAAAGCTTCACGCTGTCTTCCTTAATGGCTAGATTTACGTTGTCACTTGTTGTAAACTCCTTTGTCTCCACCTTGTTGCCTATACTTATTATGTCTTTCTGTTGCAAGACATTCTAGCAAACATGAGGCCTCATTTTAACTTTATTTTGTATTTACCTGCTGATCTGTTAATCATTTGCATATCTTGAGAAATGTCTACTTTTGTACCATTTTGAAAAGATTGTTTTCTTGCTGTTGCGTTTTAAACATTGATCCCTTTTGAGATGTGTAGTTGGTAGGTATTTTCCCATGCCATTGGCAGTCTCTTCATTGTTTCATAGCTCATTCACTTGTGGGTCCATTAGAATGAAGCAGCAGCATCCTGCTAAACTTACAGGGCCTGACAGAGTTCAGTCTTGAAGGATCTGCAGTTACACAGTTGCCTAGTGTCTGAAGCCAAAGTGATCAGACAGAAAAGAACAGAAAGATGTGTGCTGTCAGTTGCACACATCAGACCTGACCTAGGTCAAGTTTATATCCTCTTTTGGCTCGACTCCAACAGCTGCTTATTTTCCAGGGGTGTGGGATAACTTAAACTCCCTTGTGCAGGTAGGATGTAGGGCATATGATACACTGAAAGCTAGCATTCCTGGTTAGAATGGAAAACTGTTGTCATATAAATTCTTTATCCAAGGCATGCAAATAAGTTAATCTTTTGACTTGGAACAATTACTCTTTAGCCACAGGAAAGAAAATGACCAGTTACAGATGTCTGTCAGTATTGTTATGGGATAGGGAAGAGTTGGGGTGGCAGTCTTATGAGAAATTCCTGGAGAAATACTAAGAGTATGGGCAGGTTTAGGAATCAGATGTCTGGGGATGTTAATGATTTAAAAAGAAACTACCTATTAATAAGCTGCTCAAATGAATGGTCCCAACCTATATTTCTCTTTGAATCAGTGATTCAGCTTTCTCCAGAATAATGTTGGCCACAGCTTATTCAAGGCATAGATACACTGTAACAATTTTCTCCTGACAAAAAGATTACTTTCTTTGTGGATCAGCCTCAACTTGAATATTCAGCCGTTAGGACACCAGGAACACTATAGAGGTAGCTATAACATCCATAGGCTGTTACTCCTATAATAAGCTCAAGAGGTATCATATATAAAATAGTGTAGCAAATGTACTTAGCTGTTTGGATGCTCACAGGATGTCGATGCAATTGATTCTAAGGGTTAAGAACAAGGATTATTTTCTCAACTTGCTCCAGGAATATATTCATCCCCAAACACCCAAAAAAGGGGAATGAATTGAAACAAACAACCTGCATGCTATGTATTATAGTAGACTAGCCTTCCTCTGAGAAATCCTGATTTATCAAAGCAATTTCACGTAGAGGATGCTACATGTATGCTTTGGAAGCAAAGGGAAGGTAAGCTAAGAAGGCAGAGCTTTATTAATTTCTCTGACTGTAATGATCAAAGCATGTCTTCTCAATTTCACTAAACTCAACTTTGTTTTAATGGTATTTATTTTATTTTTTATTAAGATTTTTATTTATTTATTGGAAAGGCAGATATACAGAGAGCAGGAGAGACAGAGAGGAGGATCTTCCGTCCGATGATTCACTCTCCAGATGAGCGCAACGGCTGATGCTATGCCGATCTGAAGCCAGGATCCAGGAACTTTTGGGTCTCCCACGCGGGTGCAGGGTCCCAAAGCTTTGGGTCGTCCTCGACTGCTTTCCCAGGCCACAAGCAGGGAGCTGGGTGGGAAGTGGAGCTGCCAGGATTAGAACCGGCACCCATATGGGATCTCAGTGTGTTCAAGGTGAGGACTTTAGCCGCTAGGCCATGCTGCCGGGCCCATTTAACGGTATTTATGTGATTTAAGTGTTGGGACCACTGTTTATTGCATTACTTGCAGTGCAAAGCACAATGCCTCTGTACACTGAACACACACGTGAGGTGGTTCACTTCATAGTCATGCTGTGCCAGTTCCTAGTCAGATCCTTGCAAGGAACATTTGAAATGTTAGGATAAAAAGTATGTAATGGAACTCAAAATTGATCTATTCAGTTAATTTCAGTCAGGGCCATGAATCTTTTTTCAGACTGAATGGTATTTGATGTGTATATTCATAGCAAATTTTCATTTCCATGTTGTATTGTCAGGCATTAAATGAGAACACTATATTAAAACATTTCTGGTATAAGGTAACATGAATTTCATTTATTTGGTTATCAAAGTGAATTATGAAGTGTCTGACTTACTACTTGCTGCCCAAGATCTTTGTTCTCCCCTGTGAAGCTAGTTTTCAGTGCAGAAAAACAGCCCTTTGCCTCTAGCTTAACCCTTTCTCCAAGAATTGGGCAGCCTAGTCTAACAAAAATCTTGTCAAGCCAAGTCCGTATCTACCACTGCACCCTGGTGTTTGTAAAGCTGAGACATTGGAGTGTATGCCTTGGGTGGGCAGGGTTGTAGTATAGTAGGTAAAAGCCACTGCCAGAACTGCTGATCTCCCTTTTCGGTAGTGAATCCTGGCTGCTGCACTTCCAGGCCAGGTTTAATTGCTTGGGAAAAGCATAAGATGGCCAAAGTTGGGAGGGCTAGGGGGAGTTCCTGGGTTTTGCATGCTCCAGCCCAGTTTTCACCAGTTGAGAAATGAAACAATCATACATGGAAGATCTGTTTCTCCCCTAATTATGCAAATATCTTTAAGTGAAAACATGTTCTAGAGTTAGCAAAAGAAGTATAGCTGAGTGACACTAGGCAAGGTGCTTTAGTGGTAAGGATAAGCAAACGTTACCAGATTAGATGATCAGTAGGCTAGACTGTGTCAGAACCAAGCATCCTGAATAGCCTAGTCAGAAGCATGCAACACTCCCGTCTGTTGTATAAGAGCAATATTCAATCCTGTACGTTTTAACAGTTTGAAGGCAGGCTGGCTTGTCTACAAAACAGCTGTGCACCAAAAGCTGCATCTTTGACTTTGCTGAAATGTCACAGAACTCACTATTGAGAAACAGGGAAACCTTATGTAATCAGGGTTAGCTTGCAATCTTCAGTGTAGGAATAGGGAATATAGCATCAGCTACTGGGGTTCCTTCAAACGGACCTTTACCTTGAGTTCCAGTGGTTATGCAACACCCTTCCCCATTTCCCCTAGTGGTCTTCAGCACGTCTAAACTAGGGCACTACAATGTTTGAGCTAAAAACCAAGCCACTTCTGATGAGGCTATCTTTAACCAAATCATTATTGGATACTTTGTAATTTTTCAAATCTGAAAATGAGCCACAGTCTGAGATTCTTAGAAGAACCAGTTTTAGTCTTGATCATGATCGGCCTCTGAGGCAGTAGACAGGGGTCTTGGGAGGTGAGTGGTGGTCTAAGGATATTAATGAGTAGGTACACACTCATCTTCCCTCCTTTCACTCTACAACCTGAAAGATCTTTGTCCCCGAATGTCCATCATTTACTGACCTCACATTTTATAGTCTTGTATCACCCAATTGGAAACATGAGCTGCCAAGTGCATCTAAGTTATGGCCTGCAACTATAACTAACTGTAAGCTTCAAGTCAAATGAGAAACTCACTCATATTTGTATACTTTGGTTTTATTGTTACTTTAGCTTCGTGTAATTTATCTTCGTGTCTTGATAGCCAAGTAGGACACGAGTAAGGCACCGATGACCAAGGTCGCAGAAAGGCCTGCCACCCACAAAGCTTCAGCCTGTACAGCAGCACCTGAAAGATGGAAACAGTTCATGTACTCAAAGTTTGTTCCTTAACACTGGAGTTCACGATGCTAGTCATTTTGTTTTGCAGAAGATGTAAGTGGGCATAGCAAGTAGGGCTAAGGAAATAGCTACGTGAACCACCCAGTCATGAGCTAGGGAAGTGGGAGGATACCTGAGTATTTATGGAGCCTTTCTGCAGCATCTGTAGTAGCTTGAAGTAGAATCATGGGGCCTTGGCTGGAAATGCTAGCAGTACTGTTCTCAAAATAGACTGAGCTTCTTCCTGTTGGAGAAATTGAAGCTACTTATTTGTTTTTGAAAACAAGCAGAAGTACAAGTTTTATCCAAAGTCAAAGCTCATATATAAATTACTGCTCCATGCTTTATAAAAGCCGTATTGGCCTGTTAATGCCAAGTTACCTCATGAATTCCTGGAGCAGTTAGCTCAGTTCACTGAAAGTTGAGACATGTTGTGTAACAGGTTGTTCTATGGAAGTGTATCTTAAAGTACTGTTTGGTTCAGGTCACAAGGAATATTTACCTTGTGTATTTCCAAAGTATTAACTTGTTTTTATCATTCTTCCATGCATTTAAGAGTGTCAAGATCTTTGAACAGTTTAATGCGACTTGGTATTTCACCCCCCCCCCCCGCCAAGGAGGAACAATACCCAACTCCCATGACTTGTGATTTTATGTTGTTTTCCAGCTAACTAGCATTTTGTGACTATTAGAAGCTACTTAAAAGCTTCCAAGGTCATGCATTCCAGTAGGTAGGAGGTTGTGAAAGGAGTAGTTGACCAGGTTGAAGTACATATGCTGTTATGGCAATGGCTTTGACTGTCTTCCAAACAAGCCATGTCCATCATTCTACCTGGAAAACTTTGGGCCATGTTGCCAGGCTGGCCTGTAAGCAGCTGTATACATTGAGTTAGGTAGATGGTTGAACTGAACCTCATGTTAGTCATCTGTTTTGATCCTAGTTTTTGTCAGCTCATTTGTAAAGCAAGGACAAAAGTGTCCTCCAACTTAAGAATTTTCGGTCTTTAGGGACTGAAGGCTTAAGTTGCTACTTGTCTCTGCTGTAAGTGCTTGTGGCACAGCAAGATTAGTTTTAAGTCATTGACTAGAGGCTAGAGAACCTAATAGTACTCAAGATTGCCCCCTGTAGCCTAAGGAGCTTAGATACTTACGGCTGTCAATAGGACAGGTTGCCATACAGGCTGGTGTCCCAACAGGCTGGCAGACTGACACACTGCAGTGCAGATAGACCTGGGAGTGTGAAGAATTTGGATCATGTTGTAAAACCAGCAGGTCACAAGTCAAGACCTTCTTTGTCTCCAAAGAGACAATTCAGAAATTCTTGGTCACCCTAGATGTTAGAACACCTTGGCTAGAGTCTGGGAAGCAGATGTCAGTGTTGTCATTAGCATCTATGATCGTTCATAGGTCACTCAGCCAGCCGTAAGGGATAACCTTAGCTGAATAGTGAATGTAGTTCAGACCCCACTGTGAGGGACATTGAAGGGAATATCATACCGGTCCCTTTAGAGCTTCCTTTGCCACAGTGTTGTCCACGAAGCTGAAGGTGGAAATGCTGAAGCGTTGGTGATGAGAGGGGAACGGCAGATCCACGGCTTTCTGGACTGGGATCAGTTGGGTCTGATAGTTGTCTCCAGTGTAGGGACATCTAAGCAAGGAGACTGAGCAATCAGGATGGGTTTCTAGGACAGCCTGGGTATGGTGAATGGAAGGACTACTTACCCCTTTACCAGTATAGGCCACTGTGGTTGATACACGGGGTTGATCCTGGGTGTGGCCCAACACTGATGTAGGCGTAGCCCTAGGTGGGGATCTGTTCTATAAAGGATAGCAACATCCACGTAAATGGGCTCCCGAAGTAGTTTCACCACTGGGTAGTCACCAGCCATGTAGTAGGAGCCATAGTCTTTATCTGCAAGTGGCCAGAATAAACTAAGTTAAGCAGCCAGGGAAAAATCAATCTGTCAGATCCCTGTCTCTGAAAGCACCTTGTTCCTAAGTTAGTCTTCATGACCCTGGAGGGTAGCAAGATTGAAGGTAGCCAGATGTCCTTACCTTTGGCTATTTGAAGGACCACAGTGAGGGGACCAGACTGGGTCTCAGGAAGGGGTGGTGGGAGGGTCAACACCTCCATATCTACTGGAAGTTCATTGCTGCTTATGGAGTAGCTGCAACTGACCCGGAGCCTGCAGAAGAACAAGCTGTTAGGCTGGCTAGCTTGGGTTTGTTGGCTGGGCCACAGGAAGGAATCTGTAGCTCCATCTTGTTTTCTCACATGGGTTCAGGGACAAGCATTTGGGTCATTTTTTGCTTTTCAGATGAACCATCAGAGCTGGATCGTAGTTGGAGCATCCATATTTGATCTGGCACTCACTTGGGATGTTGCAGTGGTAAGCCCTGCTTTATCCCACTGTGCAACACTGACCCCAGAGCAATATTAAGTATAGTTCCTTCAGAAAGGAAGGTACTGGGTCCAGTGCAGCTGTCTAGTGGCTTAAATCCTCACCTTGCATGTGCTGCAATCCCATATGGGCACTAGTTTGTGTCCCGGCAGCCCAGCTTCCCCCCCCAGCTCCCTGCTTGCAGACTGAGAAATCAAGCAAGGACGGCCCAAAGCCTTGGGACCCTGAATTCATGTAGGAGACCCAGAGGCTCCTGGCTCCAGATAGGCTCATCTCCGGCCATTGTGGCCACTAGGGGAGTGAACCAGCAGACCTAAGTTCTGGCTCTCCTGCATTTATCCAACTTTACAATAAGTAAATAAAGGAGGACGTTCTAGCCAAATATGATCTGGTTGGTAAGGTTTTACCTGAAGATGCTGTCCCGGGTGATGGAGCCATGGCTCCAAGTTCTCACATCTCTCATGGCAAGCAGCTCGTTTTCGTATATTGCTTGGCCTCCAGTGATCTGCATGGGCAGCAAGGAGAAGTTTTGTTCCTGTTGGCCAGGTCCTTTGATTTAGTGCTGAATGCTGCCTTAATGTAGGTTACATTTTATGGACCATGAGCAATGGCTACCAGCAGTTGTTGAGTAGCCCAGGAAGGTGTCATGGGACTTCACAATTCCCATAGGCATTGCATGAAGTAGAGTGTACTGATATTTTGTGGTGTTGTGGAACAGCAGCCGCATAGTGTGAAGGGAACTCTGTTCTTTCAATATCTATGAAGGAGACTTTCGCTTTTCTGAAACTAAGTCCTTTTAGCCTGAAGAAGCAGCAGTCAGTTTTGCCCACCTGGGGCAGGCATCATGGTGTAAACCCCTGCCTATGACATCAGCATCCCACAAGTTCCAGTCCGCATTGTGGCTGCTCTGTTTAAGTTCCCCAATAATGGCAAGGAAGGCAGGTGCTATAGTAAGACACCTAGAGGGAGCTCCAGGCCCGACTTCATCATGGCCCAATTGCCATATGGTGAACTAGCTCATGCAAGATATATTCTCAAACACATGCTAAGTAAATTTTCACTGTCAGGGTATTTCAACTCTCCATGATTCACCAAGCCATTTCCACTAGGGTTTCAGAAACCAAGCCCACGGCCCCTGGTCTTACCTGGCTTGTGGTGCCACAGGCAGTAAATGGAAATCGGAATAGGACAAACGCAGGTGTTGCTATCACTGGATCACAGCTGCTGTCATTCCCCGAGGCCAGGTGCACTGAATCCAAGCGCAGAGGAGGCGAGGACACGTTTCGGGACACAGCAATTGAGAAGTGTCCCTCCTGGGTACAGTGTGAGGTCACTGAAACACCAAAATGCTGCATTGAACACATTAGCTCCCCAGTACTGAGCCAGCAGGAACAAGGTGTTGGCTTCATTGCTTGACTCTAATTGCTTTCAGCCAACAACCTTGGTTCAAGGCCAGCTGAGGTTCTTGGTAGTTCCTGGGTTTGGTCTGATCCATCATTTACTGTGGAATCTTAGTCAAGGTCGTTAGCACCCTTTAGCTTCCTTTGCATAACTGACATAGCAGTTGACTTAATCTTTAAATTCTGAAGAGCAGAGTAGCATGTATACCTGCTGGATGAGGACTTTTTAAAATCAGGAAGCCTTGGAGCAAGGTTTGGGGTACACAGCTTTAACAAGGTTCTCTAAGTACTCAGACTGTTGGCCAGATAATTCTTGGGAGGAGATTAGGTGAAGTATCCGTGAACACAAGATTTAGGTGCATTACCATGCACTAAGTGTTTATCTCATGTATTCTAGAACAGATGACCAAAGGCTATAGACAGCATTGTACTTTGAATACAAGTGCTTTTGTGACGGTTTTTATGGTCAGCCTGAAAGGTCTGCTGGATGTTCTAACTTTTAGATTTCTCAGCTGTTTTCAGACATGGTAATTCACTCACCTGTGTTTCCATAGTAACAGGAATCTCCCTCTGAGCTGTAACAGCATCCCAGTTCCTCACAGTCTCTTTGTGAGACAGGGGAAGCAGAGCATGGCAACCGGTCCTGCACAGGGATGGAGTTGCACAGTCCCACACCTGGAGCATCGAGGGCTAGATGTGGAAGAGGGCAGAGTAAGTCAAGATGGGTCACAGGAATGTTGGCCTTCACCACCACAGACATTGCTACAGAGTTAGTGTTCAAATCCCTGGAGGTGCAGATGGCTATAGTAAGTCCATCCTTGCATAGGTAAGTCATTTCTACTGTAATTGGAAGGAGTAAGCTCCTTACTCTTTCATGTTATCTTGTTTTTTACAGGTCATACTCAGAGAATTTCAGTTCCCGTAAGTGTTAAAATTGGGGTCTAGGTTAGTAGTTCCGATGTGTGGCCTGTGAATTCTCATTTTATTGGAACTGCCCATGCCAATAACAAAGTAGCAAAGTAAGTGAGAAGAATTACGAGTTTTGTTTTTCAGTTATTTTAACTGAAAAGTGGGATTGTACGACAGTTTTTCTGGAATGCAGGCAAGTATTTAGTGTTCCCACTTAACCAGATAGTGCCCAGCTGGGATGATAGGAAACTTGAGTCATAACTTAATGCATCCCAGGTAGGTTTTCAATTATCCTTACTAGCATCAACCTCTGCCCTAAAGGCAAGAGGCCTATCATTCCTTGGTGAGGAGCCCTTGGACAGTCTATGCTGGGGGACAGCTGTAGTATTTACTTAACTACATCATGGTTAGGCTACATTGCACATGAAGGCCTTCCCACAGTACCTTGCCATCGAGTAACTACACAAGTAGGCATCATCATGAGGATGACCCATGGAGGAAGAAGTTGGGAGCAGAGAACCTTTTTTCCCCTGTTAGAGCAGTTAGGGGAGGCCTGTGTCCTCCTCTAGGTCAATGACTCTTGACCAGAACCCCAACATTCTCAGCCTGTACCTCGAAGATCCACAGGGCACCTCAGCAGCTGCTTCTTTGTAGGTAGGTCATGTCCAACTGTGTTCACCTGTTCAACTCCGACCAGCATAACATGGTGGAACTCCTGTAGGAACAGATCCTCAAAACTCACTTTGGGTGGTGGCATAGCAGGGTGGGTGGAGGCAATCCCATTGGCCCCAACAGCTGGTCCTACTCACCAACTCAGTGGCATAGCAGCTACTGTAGTTGACTTCCAACACCACGGAGTGGTCAGGACCTTCTCCTACCCAGGTGCCACAGTCCGAGTCGTTCTGCAGCGTGTGTAGTAGCCCTTCATTGTCTGCATGCAAAGTGGGAGGCGAAAAGCAGACAGTGAGCTTTCACTGAGTGCTACAGGGAAAGAACAGCTGGCCACAGGACAGCTGCATGCTTTTGAACTTGAAAGTGCGACTTTGTGTTCTGCCTAGAGATTAAGACAGAAAGCCCGAGAGTGACTGCAGATAGCAAAGGAGATATTTCGTTGACTGACTGAGGCCAGTTGTCCAACTTACCCCAGGCTACTAATGCAGGGAAAGATCCTGTCTCCTGGCTCCCAAGATGGATAGTAAACTGAAAGCCGCTGGGTCCACAGTGGAGCACGCCAAGATCACCTAGAGTTTCAACGTCAGGCTGTTTGTTCATAGCCAGCGATACTAGGAAACAGAGCAAGATGTAACAAAGCAGCCGCATGGTGCTCCCAGGAGTCACTGCTGGCCACGAACACTCCCAGCCAGCCTCTCAGAGACAGAATACTTCCTTATAAAGGAAAGACTGAGTTCCAGGTGTGCAGCTTTGTTACAGGTGGAATAAGGATGGCTCTTTTAGCTTCAATTGCTTTGAGGCATGGACTGCACCTGCTCCACGTTATTGCCATCCAGGAGGCCTCCAGAGCCTAGGAAACACGTGATGGCTTTTAGGATAAAAAAAAAAAGTCATCTCAGGTTTGCGCAATTAAGGCTTCTTCCACCAGTGTTTTGAATTCAGACAGCTTCTTGCTAGATGTTTGGGCGTTTGTGTTGGAGTCCTTGTGTTGGAGTCCTCGTCCAGTCCTCAAGCTATGAAGTTAGGGTGAGTCATTGCTCTTTAGAATCTGATTTCAAGCATTCTGTAGAATGGGAATAATGTTTACTGGCAGTGTGCTTTTGAGGAGAGATTCTGTGTTGAACTCCTGGCACAGTCCTTGGCCCAGCTGTCACTGCTCGGCTGCCTTCGTTGGGATAAAGTTAAGACCTACAAGGACTCAAGTCACACTCTCCACCCCTTCAAAGTATTCATGAGAAGTCGCTGCACAGTCAGAGTCTGGTTTAAAATCCCAGAAACACTTGAACTGGGTTCCTATGGATAGTTAATTTAAAGCTTTTCTTTGGCCCTAAGAGAGAACCCCATGATAGCCGTCTTGGTAAATTCCAAACCTTTTAGTGCCAGAGTTTTCCTGCTGGTTTTCCCCAAGGGATCTGTGAGGAAATGTGGATTGGTTTAAAAAAAAACCTTAAACTCATTTTGCCTCTTATAGCTATTTCTAAATCTTGTATTTATCTATGTTTCAAACATATTTTCATGAAAATGTTGTAGCTCTCATCCGTGATTTTGGTCACTCTGTGGGTAGAATGTCAGACTGGGTTATAGGAAGGTACTTTAAAAAGTCTATGGAAAAAAGAAATTAAGTTTTATTTTGCTGAAAAAAAATTTGAAATGCATTCATGAAACTTTTATAATATACATTTTTATGAATGTGTTAAAGAGCTCATACATGTAGTAGTTTCTATAGTTTCTTTTTTTTTTTTTTGCACAAAACTAAGCTTGCATTTCAGTGCCGTTCCATTTAACTTTTTAATTTAAGCCTCATAGATCCTGAGAGATTTAAGGGTGAGTGACCCTCTCCCTCACTGGCAAGTTGACAGCATAGAAACTGGTATCTGGTAAACCGCACACCATCTCACAGATTGTACTTTGTTAGTGCTGAAGCCGTCACATTTCACTGTCTAATCATTATGTAAAGGCTTCCAGGCCTCTGAAATTTACAGTGTTCACTCTCCCGTTACTGAAACTGTGCCCCCCTCATTGGAAGGTGAGGTGCAGTGTGAACCAGACCCTAAGAAATTCATTCCATGTATAAAAAAACATGACCAAAATTACTAACGCCCCAACATTTTTGGAGGAGACTGTTGGTGTGTGTACTAGTTTGTAATTAGACAGTAGTGAGGGAGCAGTCAGCTGTTGTCAGCATGTGGTGGAAATTAGCACACTTAGCATCTGAAGGATGATGTTAAGTCGAATTTACTGTAAGTACTTAACGTGGCTTTCCTTTAAACAAGAAACAGTGGGAGGTAATTTGGAATCAGATAAAAGGTGAGGAGTTTCATCCCAGTCCTGCAGTTTTTCCCTCTCTCTGCCCGTGGTCGTAAGACCCTTCTTTCAACACCCTCCGTGCTAACCTCTTAGCCACTCATGCTCCCACCTTGAGCCACTGTTTTCTTCGCAACAAAAACTGCCAGCGTCAGGAAATCCTCCTTTCCTTACACCAGCAGGACGACACCCAGCTGAATAACACCTTGGACTTCTTGCTGCGGAAGAATGGATTAAGAAACAGGTAGGAGAATTGCCAAAGAAAGGCAACAGAACTAAACTTATGGACTGTGGGGTAGGAGTGCCCAGATATGGTTCACTTGAGTTTGCTGGCTCACACAGAGGAACTGTAGAATTGCATGGCTTTCCGCTAATTTCCCCTACTCTTAATTCTGCTTGCCTACTTATCGGTGAGTCACACTCCATCTCGAGTGGTAGCTCATGTCTTTGTTGAAGATACAAAGTGCTGGGTACAATGAAATAATTCTGTCACCAAACCTTTAATTGTCATGGGTCTTAAACTTGTAAAATAATGTCAGGAAAGGGAAAATCCTTTGTTCATTTCAAACAACTTGTAGCTTTTTATATATGGCAAACTAGTTTTCAAAGTGACTGCTTATATTATTTGTGAAAGCCAGTGGTGAATAAGGGCAGAAAGGGCAGGGTTGACTGTAGATATGAGACTAGCAGGTGTCGCTGCACTGTTGCTTGAGCTTTCATTGCAGTGTGGATGGGAGCAGTAGTACTAGATGTGTCTTCAAGAGAACGCTGCGTACGGGGTGGCGGGGGGGGGGGGGGGGGAAGGGGGGGCAGAGCCTGTTGTAATGCGTAGCATTTGCTCAAAATTGCAAAATCTTACCCTGCAATGGTGATTTGAGAATTAGGGCCATTTCTCCAATTACAGGAGTCACTTAACAGGATGAAGAAAACCTGTTATTTAATAGAACACGCCAGTAGTGTTTTGTGTAAGTTTAAGCATGGATATACATGAATAATTAGATATTACCACTGACTGGGCGAGTCAGAATAACACACGTGTATTGACTTAGAGTTCTGGAGGCAGCGAGTTTGAGACTCGTGTGTCAGCAGGAGCGTGTTCTGCAGAAACACGTAGGGGAGAATCTGGCATGTCTGTAACTTGTGATGGCTGCCAGCACTTCGTGTTCCATAGTGGCCATGTGCATCCACTGTCCTCACACCAGTTTCCCTTTAATGTGTGACCGCATCGCCTTGCCTCTGTGTCTTCGTGCTTAAAATTACTTACTTTTTTTTAAATATTAAAACAACTTACCTTAAAATAATACAAATCTTAAAGGGGTGACTTCAACCTTAAGTCTGAGAAGATCCTAATTCCAAATAACACATTCCGAGGCATTGAGAGCTGGCACTTCAGCATGTCTGCTGGGGAAGAGAGAAGTCAGCCTTTCACACTTTTTACACTGTAAAACTGCATTGGCACCATGGCACCAAAGGCATCTTTCTTAAAGCTCCACATCATCTATAAAGTTTATTTTGAACATCTCCAACCCTGTCTCAACTAACAGGACTTTGTAATTCTGTGCTTTAGAGTGAAGGGGTTAATTATTTTATCTACCAGCTGTGGTGTTGGTGCTGATTGCTCTTTCAGTCTACCAAGTAGACAGAACTGGTAGTCTAGGATAGTTCAAGGGTAGAACATTCGGGAAGAAAACAGTAGGGGAATGGAATCAGTTCTCATTTTGGCCGCTATCTTGTGCTTGATAACCATTACCATTGCTCTCAGTTGGCTTAAATTGATTCAGTAACTACCTCATCCAGCTTTTCCAAGCATGTGCTTATGGGAGTGGTTTCTTGTGGATGGGGAGCCCACATTTTAGCTCTTTTTCTCCCATTTTCTAATTTTGTGTTTGAGCAGAAGTTCTTGTAATTTTGTACCTGGATAAGCAGCAGTAATTTGCGTTGGAGTTTAAAACTCCCGAGCTCGGAGTTCACTCCAAACCTACAGATTGAGAAACTTGCAGAAACCCAGCACACTGGTTAAAGTAGTCTGCTGGGAATTCCGGACACACAGCAGCTTCAAAACTACCAAGTGGAACCATAGCTTTTCAGGTGGTATATTTGCAATTTTATTTAAAAATGCTTTTCTTTAAAAAATTAAGATTTATTTTTATTCAAAAAGCATATTTTTACAAAAGGAGAGGCAGAGACAGAGGTCTTCCATCCACTAGTTTATTCCCCAAATGGCCACAATGATCAGAACTGAGCTGATCCGAAGCTGGGAGCCAGGAGCTTCCTTCCAGTTCCCAGGGTCCCAAGGACTTAATTACATTCTGAAAAGAGTTCAGTGCAAGTGTTACCTTCTCCAGAAATCCTTTCTATATTACTAATCAGCGTTGGCTGAAGGGCTGTGCTTTCTGAGCACTTACGTGCCTTCCGCTGTAGCCTTTGCTCAGGCCATCTTGCTTAGGTTCCCTGTAAACAAGTTGCTTTGAGTTCAGGATCTGTCCCTCCTAACATAGTGTTTCAGTGCAGTAAGACCTCACTAACCTACTCATGGAAATGTTGGGTAATGTCCTGGGAATTCAGCTTACCCCCTTGAAGACACATCCTCAGTCCCCGCTGATTCTTGCCTTGTATCTGACACCCACAGCCACCAGGTTTCTTGGCCTTCAGTTAAACTGAATGTGTTCTAAACCCCAGAAGTGCAAGTAGAGAAGTAATTTTTCCAGATCACATCTATTGACTTACAAAGATATATTCTGAGGATGAATATCTGAAACTGTTCGTTTTCTTAACAGATCTTAATTATAAAATTGTGTTAAGATATTTGTATACAGCCTAGACACAAGTTAGGCAGTATTGCCAATGCTTTGTATATAAATGCCATTTATTCCGCTGTGTGTACCTGAATGAATAACTGATACTCAGAAAATACTTGACCCAGAGTAGAGGTATACTAAGGAGAGCTTAGTTCTCTCCTATCCTGAATCCTTTTTATCTTTCCCTGCCTCACTTTCTGTCTTCACTAATTCCTAATATCTTGGCAGACACACTTTGCCATATGCTATGCTATGCTAGGGGATTTAACAGTAAATAGAGTAACACTTATGTAACAATTAATCACACATGGATTCCTGTGTCTGACATCTAATGGTAGGTTCTTGTTCATTGAAACTGGGAAGTCTTGAGTAGAATCTCAAGCTTGCATGCATTTCACTTAAGAGCAGGCAGCAGCTTGTGTTTTATCTGTGGATGTGATTTGGGGACTATCATTTTTGATTGCTGAATTTTCAGGGAATCTCACCAATATTCTCCATTTCAAATCCTTTTGCTTTTTCCTTTTCTTTAGTCTGGCAGATCGGTTACATGCACAGAAA